TAGTTGGGCATGCATTACAAATTATAAAATGAAAAAAAAAAAATTGAGATTGTGAAGAAAACAAACAAACAAACAAACAAACCCACAATGCAAAGCTGGTAAAAAACAAAAAAACAAAACCTTTTGTATTACAGAATGTACAGTTCTATTTAAGTCCATATCACTACATGTTATTTTGCCAAAGTTATGTTTTCTAATTATTTACACATTGTGCCACTGCAGTAATAAAAGATACCTGCTGTGCATTGTGTTAGTGCAGACGGGCACCATTTCTGTGTGACCTCTGCAAATGATCGTGCTTAAAACAAGTTAAGATTCTGAATTTCCCTAAGGGTTTGTATAGTATTAATCCGCAATTATCCTCAACGCCGTGTTTGATTTTTAAATATTAACCCAGTAATACTGTGGACATGTCTTCTCAACCTTTGGTAAGTCTGCCCCGTGTATCAGTACATATTAATAATACATTCTGTGCAAATTGTATTGTAATATAGCAATAGTGGCAAGCCCTCAAGAAGTCTGTTCCTAGAGAAACCGTAGGGAAAAAAGCAATTCTCCAGTGGATTGTCAGAGGAAAATTCTCGTCATTCACCCTGCGTTTGAAGCACAAAATATTAAACAGGAAAAGAATGGCAGGCAACAATGAATGGCATGCAAAATAGCGTAATAAAAATAAAAAGACCATTAAAAACCACATTAGAACTGGGTTGCCAAACGTATGTTTGACAGAGTATGTTTTTTAATGATCAGCCATGTCTAACTTTCCTTCTAATGAATACCTAAGCAGTGAACTGCCACGTGACACGGCATAGTCGATATCAGTGGAAACATTGTATTTCATTTAATTAATCAACTGCTGTGGCCAAGAAACTGGCAGTTATGACGACTGGATATGGTCAGGGGGCAAAGGATAGTCCAGGTCTAGACTGGATATAGGCTGTGCCATTAGCTAGAGCTCCACTTTTTTCAAGCTTGCGTGTTCTGAATATGCTGCTGGCCCACTGTGCTAAATTGTGTTCAGTCTGGTTCTTGCAGTAAGATACCTTTTCCCTATATTTGTCAAGCCTGTGGCTGTGTTACACATCCACTCCGGAATCTCTCCTCACTTCTGTGAAAGAATTTACCTTGATTCCAAGGTTCAAGCTTACCCATTGTATAGCACTACGGAATCTGATGGCGCTATATAAATAATAAAATAATTATAATAATAGGTGTCATATTAGATAGCCTATATTAAAATTGGCTAACGTGGACTCAGGAAATGCTTAATGCTTAAAACGACACTTAAGACCATATATATCTAGTTCCGGGAGCAGATAGCCCTCACCTGAGCTGTCTCTCCTAAATCGGTCTGTTCCTTCTCTTTCCTGGAACTTATCTGTTATATGTACATGACGTTCATCCCTATGTCTTACAAGATCCATTCACCCTTTCACTCCCTTTCTACTACTGTTCTATGAGTATTTGCACGTAATCACATACTTTTTAATATATAAAAAGACAACTGACAAAATAAAGGTCAGAGGCTTATTTTGATAACCAACACGCATCTGGTGTCTAATTCACGCTTCTCCAAGCAGTGGCGGATCCAGAGCCTGATCTCGGGAGGGGCACTTGTAGATTATTTAAAGAAATAATCCAGACACAATAACCACTACAGCTCAGTGTAGTGGTTATGGTGTCAACAGTGCCGGGACCCCCTCCCAGAGTAAGTAGTCAAACCGTTTAAGAACAGTTTGACAACTTACCTGAGGTCTGCTGGGAAATAGGGCTGTAGTAGGGCATATGAGCAGTGGTGTGTGTGAGTGGTGCAATGTGTAAGGGGTGCAGTATGTGTGTGTGTGTGTGTGTGTGTGTGTGAGAGGGGGACAGTGTGTGAGCAGTGTGTGTGTGTGTGAAGGTTGTAGTATGTGAGTGAGGGCGGCAGTGTATGTCAGGGATGCAGTGTGTGTGTGAGTATTGCAGTGTATGTGTGAGTGTGGGCAGTGTGTGCATATGGGGGGCAATGTGTGTGTAT